ATGAAGAGAAAGAACGGTAACCTTGCTTGAGGCGACTTGTGGCGTGGAGGACAGGAAGGCGGGTGGGGAGGCGGTTATTGTTTGGAGGGAGCGTCCCCCTCCCTACCGGAAGCCCCGACCACATGTCACAGCAGGGAAAATGGCCGCGGATCCTTGTCACCCGATGCGGAGTTCGTGAACGGAAGCAAAATTTTGCGAAAGGTGCTGTTCGTGACCTGAATTGTTCATGAGCAGAAGTGTCCGTGAACCAAGGTACCACTGTAATACAATATGCTCCTGAAAATTTGTAGAGAGTGTGCGGTTGTGCTGACGTCTTCCTTTCAGGCTTCCTGTGGGCTTCTGCTGAACTGCTTTGGGACCAGAAGGCTAGATTGCAGAGATTCCAGCACAGCTTCTCTTACATTGAAATTAAGGCTGTGCAAAACATTTTGAAATTTTGAAGTGCTTTTTTGCGTGTGCTGCTTGAACTGTCATAGTGTTATGTCTTTGTGAGGGGTTGGCCTGCCCACTTTGAGGGCCTCTCCATGGCTTCAGAATACAAACTGGCATGCACGGAAGACACTTGTGCTAGGATGCCTGTTGAAGCAATTCAGAGGGGCACTTCATAAAACATCTGATCTGTACAACCCTAAGCTTATGAATCATTTAAACAGGGATTGCAGCATAAGTAACTATGTATAAGTAGCCTTCTTTGTGGAATGAAAAAGTCTATGTAAAATCTGACAGTAGGGATTGTTCATTATTTAATCAATCTGTCTTGTTAAAACCTTGTCCCAAAGTGAATGTGAGGCACAATATAAGGGCTTGACTTCAAAATCAAAAGCTTTCTCTCTTCATATGTCTCCAGAATGAAATGTGCTAGTAGATATTCATTAGTATATGTTCAGATCTAGGCACATTATTTTTTTCCCCAAGATGTTGGATTTCCATATGAAACCTAGATTAGAACCATGTGAAGATCAGATACTTCACCATTCAAATATTAATACATTGTGGAGCAATTTGTGATAGTGTTTATTTATCAAATATTAGATACATTTGTTCCACCAATTTGGACATCCAACTGTTGTCTTGTTCTTGAAAAGAGAGAGAGATTAATTGATTAATCTGAAACCGTTATTAAAGTTGATCTTTCATAGCATTCTCATTTAGTATGCAGCACATTAGATTTGATTTTTCTGTTTAAAATTCTATTATAAGAAAGAATTTGAACTTAACCCCTGTTAAATCCCTTAAGTTGATTTTTTGTTCTCATTAGCTATTGCTTTCCATTTCTACACAGAATGGGTTCAGATGGCACCAGCTTTATTTTCTAAATTTATTCCAAACATCCTCCCTCCTGCTGTAGAATCTGAGCTTGAGGAATATGCTGCTCAAGACCAGAAACTTCAACAAGAACTTATTCAAGAAGGATTTTCCAGGTAATAGTGCCAACTTTTCCAACATGTTTGTGTGGGGTTCTGTAAATCATGCAGATGAATTTGGGCATCACATATAAAAACATAATTGTTTTTAACTTTCTTAATGGATAAATTATATTGAATGTTTAGATTTTGTTTTAATTGTGTATGCTGCCCAGAGTCACGTGCAAATGAGTTGGATGGCTATATAAATTCAATCAATCAATCAATAAACTACTGCAGCATACCATTTAAGGCATTAAGAAATATCTCTATAAGAGTAATAATTGTCTTTTGCTAAAAGTGTTATTCAGGGGTACTTTTGGTTTGTTTCTTGAAGTCCCTTAATAAAGCCAGTGAATTATCCTTTGTGAAAGGAGGACCCTTAGTGTAGAAAATGCATGCCCACATCATCCATTCCCCTTTAAATGGTCCTACCTTTACACAAAGGGTGGTTCCATTTGTATTTCTTCTTTCCAACTCTGACTGAATGCTTAGAAGTTGGGGAAAGAAAGGGGCAGTGCAAGTGGTCACAACACATTCAGTTGAAAGCATGAAGGGGGGTTATATTATGACATTCATAGCCTTCCTTAAAGTATGTACATGAATCCCTTCCAGACCTGCACTGATACTGTAGGTTCTTGTTTGCTAGTAAAAATATGTATACAGTTACACTCAAATGTGTGCATTCAGCATACCTGGTTCCCCACCAGCACCCAGTAGCAACTGCAAAGACTACATGTTTAAACTTTTTCTTCCACATAGCAGTCCTCGTGAGAAAGTTAGTTAGGCTGCACTGATAAGACATAAAATGAAATGAATAAATTATGCTATTGCTTCCCATGCTATAGTATTGTTATTACTTGTTAGAAGATGTCCACTTGTAGTTCCTTATTTCAAGCATTATCTGTGATGAATACAATACAATTTGTCACTCAAGCAGTGCAATATTGGGCCTAAATATTAAGGAAAAGACTTGTACTTCAGCAGGATACATTGACTTCCAATGCTTTTTATTTAAAATGTATGTATTATCTATGGTTATTGTTAAAAACCAGACTTGACTGGGTTAATTTTGAAGTCTAGGCTGACATGTTCTGTCTATGAGGGTATTGGAAATGGCAATTAGGCTGTTAATTAGCACAAGATAATGGGATATTATGCCTATGTTAAAATATCTGCATTACTTTTCACTTGTTTTCTAACCATAATTCAGCATAGTCTTTTTAACTTTTAAAGTTGTAAATGGCTAAGTTTCTAAACTTGGCATTACTTTTGGCAGCAGAAATCCTCTCAAAATGCTCCAGTTTTGAGGTCTTTGGGGTACATAGTAGTAGGCTTTCTTCTATATTACTACTAAACTAATGGACATGCTCACTTACTTAGAAATTGTAATTTATTTTCACTTCAGCAAGGACTGATTACCTGAACTGATCCTTATTTTAACTGCTTTTTTTTCTGGGTTCAAGTATTTCTTATTTCTTATCTTTATGTTGCTTGTTAGCCATCTTGAATGAACTAGAGATCGAAAGGTGGGTCAAAATTGAATGAATGGATAAATAAGTACAGTAAGGGTTTTTTGTCTGGCTTTTTTTAGAGGTGACCAGTCACGTAAACGAGCTGGGGAAGAATTAACTTACAGTAAGTAACTTAAACTGTTAGTTTCTTTTATGATGGATGATATTATATAGTGAGGCATGTGAACCCTTCTCATTGCAATTGCAAATATTCTTTATTTCTTCAAAGTAGATGGCAGTCATGATCACACAAAGCCCTGCCCCTTTACAATGTTGATACACATATAAAAGAAGTAGGGCTTTGATCACAAAACTGTAACCATCATCTTGACTTCTTTAATGTCCCCACTCCCAGCACACTGCTGTGACTGATAGTCTAAGCCAGGAGTTTTCAAACTTTTTCAGGCTGTGAAACTATTGTGTTGTGTTTTTTTTTAAAATCCTGTATCCCCAATTCACCAAATTGTGGCTGTGGCATTTTTGTATGGGAGAATAGGCTTCCTTCTTTCCATTCTAGTGAAATGAAGGTGTCCCCCCCGCGGGTCTTTCATGGAACCCCATCAAGTTCCCTGCAGATCCACAGAACACAGTTTGAAAAGCTGTGTTGTCCAAGCACTTAATAGTACGCTATTGAAATGATTAAGAACTTATTAAATGTGTTCTAAATATAATATTTATGAAATGACTGAAATTACTTTTTTTATGGAGATCACGTTTATCTGCAATATGGCAATAATGAATAGCTAGTCTGTTAGGTGGCAGGATCAAAGTTTCCTCTGATCCATAAACTGTTCTAATATCTTATGCAATATGGGTATTCTTAGGTGTTTATGGTAAATGGTTTGCCAGTGCCTTCCCTTGGGATGTTTTTTACTTTCTAGTCTAACGTACAGCACAGGAATTCTTTGGTGGCTTTCCATACCAGATTTGAACCAGCCATGCTTAGCTTGCAAACTCATACAAAGTGAGCCAGGTGCTGTTGCTGCCTGGTGAGAGGCTTGTGATACACTAAATAATTACATACCATTTCTGTTCTTCTGTTTCTTGGGCCGCTAGTACCCATAATAAAGATGGATGGCATGGTGCATTTTTAAGAACTGTAAGTAATGGTGAGAGGGATTTAAAGCAAGTGATGTTTTCATGATTTTTTCTTGACTTTTTCAGATGGTTCAGCATCATGTGCAAGCTCAAGAGGATGCAGATAGTAACTGTACTAGAAGTATATCAGTAGGAATGGACTTTGGAATGGCATTGGAAGGGAGGGTAGCCTGAGACTCAGTCAGGTTCTTCTGATACTCAGGTTCTTTGATGCAACTATACCTAGAAGAGGTGTTTGGACTTATTTCTCGCCATGTAATAAAATGTCTATTTGCTGCTATTTGGGCTAGCTTGGAACAATGTGATCAATCTTGAAAAGGTTGTTTTTTTGTTTTTTTGGTGATTCCTGTGAGGGCTATACCTTTTTGGTTTTTAAAAGCTGGTTAAATACTACAAGTTGATAACCAAGAAGAGCAGCTTCCTCTGAAAGAGATTTGGGGTGGCGTTTTTGTTTCGTTTTGGGTTTCTTTCTTTTTCTTTTTTTTTGCACTTTCTGATATGTGGACATTGCTGTTAGAAATCTGTGCCCATTCAATTTTGTCCAGAATGTTTGCTTGGTAAACACTGATCATTCAACAGTATTTCTGTCTGCAAAAAAAGAAAAAAAGGTTTGCCTTTAAAAGTCAGTCATAAGAGTGACCCTTCATATTCCAGGCATATTTCATCTGCTTAGCCCCTCATTAGTACAGACTACAACATGTATTTTAAAACTGTGATTTGATTAAACATGCTGCAAAGTTGCCAGATTTTCCTACCGTCTTTGATTACATTTAGGAAAATAAAAATTAAACTGTATTTTTCCTCATTCCCTTCCACGCAAGAAGTGTTAGTAAATCAAATGTTTATTGTATTATGTTGTTGGCTTTGGTAATGATTGTAAAGAATTAAAACAAATGTTTTTCAACATGTAATTCCTATTCAGAATTAAAATGCTAGTATATAATGGTTGCAGATTTGGCAAGAGATTACAGACCAGGTTGTGTGCTCTGTGCTGCCTAGTAGCAATACAGAGAAATGTTGGTACTGATTTTAAGCAATCAGTTCTCTGAATACTTTGATATTGGGGTTCTATAATAGATTTTAAAATAAGACTGAAACGGTGCTTACCTCTGAATAGCAAGGTACTTGAAATCAATGTTACACATTTATGACTTGTACCATTTCAGGAGGCAACTGGGGAGAACTGCATATTTGATTTGTACATACTGTTTTTTTAGTCTCAACTGTTAAAGCTTGAACATAAGTTTTTAATCTGCAGTACTTTGCACTGCATTATGGGTATGATGGCAATATGTACCTCAGAAGGGATAACTTTGGATCCCTGCTTTCTGTTTCTGGTCTTTAACTGAAGGCTAATCACAAGGTGCTGGGGTTTTTATTTGTGTATTTGTTCCTTGGCTATCTGTGAAGAAGCACCATGCATGTAAAAGGTAGGGAGGGGGTTCTCCTTCATTTCCTTCTCCACAACATATCATTTTATACAGAAAGGTTAGACTTTTCTTGGGGATAAAAGGGAAATAAAGATGAGTTTGCCAGTGAGGTAACAAAACCAGGCTATGCCGAAATTTAGTGCTCAGGGGAAGCCCAGCTGGAGTGAGTTTTTAATGTGGGAACCTTGTACATTTTTATGAACAAGACATGGCAGTTTACCTCATTCCTGAAAAAAAAATGATTTGATGCATGACTTTTCAGCATGAGCAGCGGCTTATTTTAGCTTGCCTGATTCACAAACAACTATGGACAATTTTAACCTTTCATTTGGTAAGATTCTAGGATAAATTCTTCTGTGGTATGAAAGCATCATATGAAAGAACAAGTATACTTTTAAAAAGTGTGCAGTTTAGGGACAATAATGTTAAATGAATAAAAAAGGAAAATACCTTTCAATTTAACCAAAAGGCTTAGTTTGTTGAAAATGATGCATTACTTCAAAGAAAATATATCTAGAAAATAACCATTCCTAACTTTACATAGGCTGTCCTTCTTTTCTTCTGGTATGTAAATGAAAACCTCTCCAGTTTACTAAATTAACTAAGTTTTCTTACATTAGTGGAAATAGCCAAAAATTACAGAATTCTTCAGATTTTCAAACATTTTAAAATTACTTGGATTTTTAAAAAAAACAAGATGAGATGGAACACATGTAAATATAACTTCAAAATGAACTTTATGAGAGAAACTGCTGGTTTCTACTTCAGTTGATTTTAAAAAGGTAGGCCATACATTTAATAATAATTGTGTTCCCCTAAAGTTAGTGTAAACCACTTTTCCCCAACTTGCTGCCCTTCAGGTGAATTGTATTACTGGAAACATTAGCTGGGAATTCAATATAACTGGAGAATACCAAGCAGAAGAGTAGTGTAAACCAAGCGCAGAGTCATCCCATCCCATATTTAGAAAAGATTTTCACACTATAGTTAATGGAGATCCATCACTACTGTACTGTGCCACTACATTCCTCTTCATGGTTGCTTTTAGATTATATTATTTTTGGGTAGGGCAAGGATTCTGAAACTTATGTAGGAGGCTACAAAATAGCAGGCTGATAATAATGACCAATGCTGTGCATTCAAATCCAAGAATATTATCCTTTTTGATTTAGGGAGTTTGAACAAATCTGAAGAATAGCTAAAAAGGCAATGTGAAAGATATTTGCTGTTGTTCAAAGGTTACAGTTTAAAAGCTTGGACAATATATCTAGAGTCATGGCAGTAATTGCCTGATAAACCCTCCACTTTTATTCCCTATTGAATTTATCCATAAGAAGTGCCCAGTTATGAAAGACATGTAGAAGTATGGTTGTTCTATAGCATTTATTTCTCTTACCATAACCATTGCCTATGGGACATTTCTTCTTTGGCTGGCTTCTGATTCTGCTCCTACAGGTTGGAAGCTGATTCCAATCTGACTCTTATAACTTCTAGCATTAACCTTATAGAATACAATGAGAATGAAAAGAGGATGTCCAAGTGGGTTTGAATCTGATGCACTGTTTTTATCTTTTACAGCAGCCTTTCCTGACTACTTGGGTCTACAGTTTTGCAGACTTCAACTTCTAGAATTTCCCAGTTAGCACAGCGATTACTGAAAATTCTGGGTATTGAAGTCCACATCTGGAAGATGACAAAGTAAAGGAAGGCTGCTTTACTAGTTTATGGTTTGTAAATAATCTTCAGAACATTCAAATTTTATTTCCAGATAAGTTTTTATTTGTGTCATTGAATGCTGAAAAATATTCTTCTCAAGAATATTGCTTTGGTCAATATTCTAAACATTGTTTTACATATTTTAGCTCTATGTAGCATCTTGTCTGAATAGGAAGCCTGTTTTTTATATATGTAAAAGAAAAGAAAATAAAGAAAGATATATTATGTTGTAAATTAGTATTAAGATTTCTGTATGTTTTGGCATCTAATGCTGAAATAATTTGTTTTCCTATCCTCCAAGGAATATATCTTGGTGAGTGTGAAAGAATACAACAAAACTTAGGTTACTTTGTAAACACTTTTCTTCAACATTTGCTGAATTAATGTGTGGCCCTCTACAGCCATGCCTTCAATAAAAGCAGCATGGTCTTGGCTGTGGTGCTCCTGTAAATCAAATGATTTGCCATTTTTTGTGACTGTTTTCCACATAAGACTTACATGGCAAAATTGTATGCATTGGGTGTCATATCTCACATTTGTTTCCTGGGAAACTTGTTCTATTAAAATATTTTTAGACAAATGTTTTGGTTCTGAATTTGCCATTTTTAACTTGTATCCACTTGCCATTTTTGACTTAGAGAGATAGTGACATAGACAAATGCTTCTTTTACCCACAAGTTTGCAGTCTCATATTTTCTTTAGAATGTAGAATATATATTGTCTATAGCTGATGGGAAAGCTTAAAAAGATTTGTTTATGGGAAGAAGAGTACCATGATATGTAATTTGGGAGGCTGGAGATTGTAATTACTATGTTTGTTACTGCTGCAAAGAAGATCTGAAGTCGTTTCTTTAGATATCTTTTTTTTTCTTTTGTTATCTTTCACTTTTTCTTTTATATTTCCTTTTTTATATATTTCCTTTTATGTTTCTGTAGTTTTTTAAGCTTATGTAAAACTTTCTTTTAATAACAATTACAGTAAAAAAGTTGATGGGAAAGCTAGCTTGTTGAAACTCTTGACACTCAGTTCACTGTTATGAGCAGATTCTCAGAATCAGTCTGTACTGCTTTTAAAATGGGAATATTCAGTAATCTACTTCACTGGCTTTTCAGTGAGAATAGCTTTGCTCATGAGTCCTCTTATGTCTGCCAGACACAATGTTAGCTGACAGTAGAGGACTCAGACACTGTCACGTTCATGTCTAGATCAGTGCAAAAAGTTTTACAACTCATTCACTTCTCTGCTCATGATTTCTTTTTTATGTACCCCATTTTCTGAAGAAGCCCCACAATTTTGCAAGTTGTACAGGTTTGGTTTTCTTCTACTGATTTGGCAAAAATTATTGCAAGAAGCTTCCTGTTTTTAAACTACTTGTTTAAAAATCCTCATAGTAGTGCCATCTTCCCTGAAAAAGAAAGAGGGGGCTCTTCTTTCCTGAAGGGATGCATTAGCTGTTTTATTTGTGTTCTCTGGAGAACATGAATATGCTGGTGTTATCAATCTTTTCAAAAAGAATTACTTGCCAGAGATGCAAGGATTGTAGAATATATCTACGATGCAGCAATTGCTTATACCGTGTAAAAGTAAAGATTGCCCTGAGCTGAATTCTGTTTCTGGTGACTGTATACACACATATATGTTTTTTTTCTTGGCAACAAAACAGAAGTGGTTGTTCCTGTTTTCTCTTAGGATGTTTTTCCATTTACAGCCCTGGAATTTCTTGGTAGATTCCAATCCAAGTAATAACTCAGTTTGACCCTGCATAGTTGTGGGAGTTACTTGGGTAAGACGCTACTACAGAAAGAAGGAAAACTATTAACTGACCTATGCATGTAGGAGGAAAATATATTATGTAAGAATGGTGACATTATTTCAGTTGTTGCTCACCCTAAAAGCTTTGACAGTGAGAGTGGTGGGGGGCTATCTATTCCACAGAATTAATAATTGATAAGACATGAAATGTTTACATCCAACAATTATAACTGATTTTTCTGTTTCCCTTTTTGCTCTTATACAATAGTGTTTAAAAGTTTGTGAACCCTTTTGAAAGTTCAATATTTCTGCATAAATATGACCTAAAACATGATCTGTTCTTCACACAAGTCCTGAAACTCGATAAAGAGAACCCAATTAAACAAATGAGTCAAAACATTATAATTCTTCATTTATTTATTGAGGAAAATAATCTACATATTTGTGTGTGGCAAAAGTATGTGAATCTTTGCTTTCAGTAACTGGTGTGCCCCCCCCCCGCCCCAGCAACAATAATTACAAGTACAACTAAATATTTCACTAACATTCAGTCCTGCACATCAGCTTGGAGGAGCCCATTCCTCCTTACAGAACAGCTTCAACTCAGGGATGTTGGTGGGCTTCCTTG